TTACATTGGAGGACCGTAGAGGCCATGGTTTTTGTGAGAGGATATTTTTATGCGCTACCACCGCTTCGGCACGCCATAATCGTCGGATGACTAAACGCGCAGTCGCGTGTAATTTTCGCTGAGCTGTCCCGAATATCTCCGAGACAAAGCGACTTCATTTAGATACAACGTCGTTTTTCGGATTAATCGCGGAGAGGAAATGATATGCGTTGTCATCGAGTCGGGCCAGCCAATTGTGCAAACAGAGAAAATGTGATCGAGATGTTTCATCGAAGAGAAATAACCTGAATTAAGAAGCGACTCCGTTGCTTTTACGCCGCGAACTGCTGCAACAACAAAGTATTTATGAGAAAAACAAGTTTATCTTTTTGCACGAAGGTCACAAAGATCTTAGAAAAATGACGAAACTAAAAGATAGATCGGCAAAGTAACTTGAAAAAGAAACAAGATATCGCTCCCTTATGAAATTTATATTGAAATAAAACTCTAAAACTAAAACTAATCCTAAATAAATAAAAAAATTATCGCTAAAGTTAAGATTGCCCGGAACTTTCTGAAAATAGAAATTCTTGTATCCGAATTTTCCTTTAATACGATTTCAAATGATACGAGCTCCATGCAAAGATATAAATCTCCTGAGAACAGGGCGACGATCATCGCGGACGCGTAACTGATCGGCCGGACGGTCCTCGTTCTAATTGGTGCCCACTAATTGTTAATTATCAGTAGTACCCACCCGTGGAAACCTGACGTAAGAGGCTTAAGGCAATTTACACGGCGAGGCGGACCCGTCTCCGCAAGCGTTACCAACACCGTCGCCGATCGCCGTCGGTTTACAACGTATAACACACAGGGCAGGTGTGCATATGTAATTCCGTATGGATGCCACCACCGCCAGGCAGCACCACGTGAAAAGAGACCAGAGATCCGCGGCGGTTTACATTATTTATTAGGCGTATCGTCGACGCGCGTACACACCGAGTGAGAGCTAAGATAAACGGCTGCATAATCAACAATTAGCCGGTTGATACGCGCGACGCTACGTGATAATTTTTTAACGAGCAAACGCTATCTATGTTTGCATTAGCGAGACGCGTTTTCTCGCTTTGCCCACCGTCGTCTCTATCACTTGTGTACCTTGTGCCAATTAATAATTGTGTCACTACAAAACTTGGTCACTCCGAGATCGATATACCATGATCGAATATGATCAAATTCCAAAAAGACTCGTCATTCGCCAAGAGCGAAGAAATTTATTGCATATTTTTCGCAAAAACATTTTACCACGCTCAAAAATTTACATTATAAAAATCTGAAGTTTCACGAAGCATCTTCAGATCCATCTTTCTTGAGTTTGATCATTCAAGGACAAAATACTACTAAACCATCGTAGGTAACGTAACTGTTCCTATTATTAATAGCAGAACTCGATAGCAACAGGCGACAGTTCTGTTACAAATTTAAGGAACAAAGACGCGCTAGAAGAACTCGTCGCCCGCCGACGTAGAAACAATAGTTGGCGAGGAACAATGAGAGCAGGCGAGCGAGCTGAGTTTTCTTTCTCGACTGCTATACTACGTCGACTCACTCGACGAGAATGCGACTTGAGCCCATGTAAAGTCAGACCGCCGCAAAAGGATCAAATCCGCGGAATCGGCCTCTCTCGGCGCAGCGATCACGAGCTCCGCTTGCTTCTCTCAGTATCACCCAATAGAGAATATAATACATCGAACGCGTGCGTGTCACCGCACTACCACCGCGGAAGAGAAAGAGAAAGAGCGAGAGAGAGAGAGAGGAACCGAGTCACTTCTCGAGAATGTGATTTAAGTCCTCGCATAAAAGACGACGTTGCGCAGAATTACAAGCGGCACGCAGTTCCGTCGGTCGATAGGATATGTCGACAGAAACGAAGAACCCTCCTCTCCCGCGTTTTACCGTGTAGAGAATACCGAACGATCGCCTATATCCGCGCGGCCATTCAACAGAGATGTTGCTCGGACGCGGACGTTGAGAATCGCAGCGCTTGAGATCAGCTCGCATTCCTCCATGTGACCGCGAATAACGTAGTAATGTCAAACTCGAAACAGGACGCGTACAACTATGTCATTATTACATTGTTTTACATGTATTAAATACTCAGCGGAGAAGCGCGCTAACTCCATTATATGCCCAGACTCATTCCAGATATGACTGCATTTCAAGTAGATATCGGAAATTATGGCTTTAATAATGTAGTAATTTTGTCCTGTACACAAAGCCGCAGAGAATGCGAGCTTGGAAAATCATTTCATGTCACTCTTAAGAGAGAAGAAAAATAATAGAGAAAAAAGGAGCGTATAGTCCAATTATGTGATAATTAACGCTTTTTCATGACCGACAACTCTGCCGCTAGAAGCGTTTCGTAATTACAATTGTTACTTCGGCACGTTAACTAGATGACAAAATGCTTTTCCATGTTTTTCCGAATATGGAAATATCTTCAAGGTTACTAATTGTATAAGCATCTTCCCTTCATATCATGGTTTACTCATTAAACAACGCTGTAAAAAATTTACAGGCAAAAGTTCAAAGAGCAAAAAAAAATTTTGTCGAATCGTCGTTAATTCTTACACCGTAAAGTGTAGGAAGCATGAACGAGAATTTAAGCTCATCGAAACGGCGCGGCGCGCGGCGGCGAGAAGCAAATCCGCATGAACGAGGCCAAGATTACCGTAATGGCTCGCTTTACGATTACAGTTATCAGGACGGAAATCTGCGAAAGCCCAACGTTAACTGCGGAAACCAGTCTTGAGAGGCTGCCAGCGTCGTCCTTCAAACCGAATCCTTCGTACCTTCCTACAAACGCGTCGACATTCGGAATTATCCGGTATTTAACTTCTCTACGAATTTCACGCTTGCGTTTGTTCTCCCATGCTTTATTCCTCCAAGTTTTATTTTCTTTCAACCGCTAATGGCTTCAATTAGTATTGTAAACAGGCTGTGTGGGACAAAGGACTTAAAATCTAAAGTTATCGAAATATTTGCTAAAAGGGATATAGCCGAACCGGAAGAATATCATCGTTTCTTTTTATGGGAGAACTGAAAACTTTCACAACTTCATTATTTTTACACCGTATACATAAAGTCTATTGCAAGAAAGAGAAATGAGAAAAGCGAAACTCTACAAACAAACAACACATACTCCGTTAGAATATTTCATAGATAATCTCTATGTGTTATTACATTAATTTTCTTACAGTGTGAATAATTATTATTTACCCAAGACTCGTAATTAAACAATTTCTTTACACGTATCAAGGAAATTTCCTTTTTAAAAGATCTTAAAACTCTCAACTTGAAAACACTTAGCTTCTTCTGATTTCCCAAGCCATAATTATTCAAACACCGTACGCGGTTCGACGGCAGTCATAAATCTTAACGTCGACGTTCAGATAAGGAGAATGTATCTACGATGCGCACAAAGGTATCGCAAGCACTTTAACGATCTCACGATCTAATTAATATAATTGTCCCGACGACGACGTGTATCGGAGTGTTCTCTCTCGGTTGAGAGAAAGAGCGAGCGAGCGAGCAAGCGAGCAAGCGAGCAAAAGAAAGAGAGAGAGAGAGAGAGAGAGCTGCTCCAATTTATTTGTAACTCTGGTAGTGAAATACACCTGCTAGCATTAACGACCGCAGTAATCAATTAATTCTCATTAATTGAGAGAGAGACAAGATACACACGCCGGATGAGTTATGATTGAATCGCGATAACGGGCTGTATCCGCTTACAGTAAATTAACCGGATGCTCGACCACGATGATACGTCGCTCCTCCGTCAAAAAAGAATTTTCAATTATGCACCGGTAACGGATATCGATAGCATGACATAATCTAATTCATCAGCGCCCAGCGTATTCCGGATTCCCCGGTCTGTTCGAAATTCTTTCCATCTAACATAAAACTTTGCTAACTTGTTTGATAAGACTATATTATTCGAAATAATATCCGGGTAAAAAAGAAATACGAAAACGTAAGCGGAAATGTAAATAGCAAACGGATATCGACAAGAGGCGAGAGACGGAAGATTCTTGGAATTCCGTGGAAATATTCTTTCACAGGTGGCGATGGTGGACGCGACGTTTCCCCTTCGTGTGTGTCTTTCGTATGCAACCGTGACCACCGTCTAATACGCGGCGCTGCGGCACATACTAATTAGCTCTGCGAGCGAAACGCGCCATGAATACAACTCCACGTGGAGAGAGAGACAAACATTAGACATGAGAGCGACGGTGCTTGAGGCTAGGTCGAGGCTGAACCTCGAGAGAGACACTTCCTGTCGCAACGATCGCTACCGGGACCAAATAACGTCTCGCTTTCCCTCGCTCAATTATCAAGAAGTCGTGTATCGTCGTTATATTTTCAAGATAAATTTAAAAAGTTACCCTCAGTTTCGCTATAAAATATAAAGTATGATAAGAGATACAGAGACCAACTCGAAGTCACGTACAAGAACTAAGTTAATAATTTTTTTTTTAAGATTAAAGTTAAAGGATTAAGAGTGTTTCCCCCCTATAACAGGTGCTCGAGTCGTAAACGCAATGTTCGCGGTCGAGTGGTAAATATCACGCGAATTTCAGCTGGGATATCGAAGTGCGTTCGTGGCGAGACATTGACTCGCCCTGGGATTTACGAGCCGTGAAATTTCCGACACGCGCCGGACACTCTCACAGACACGATTACGGCAACGCCGAAATCGATAGGAATTTATCGTTAGCGGTTAACGCGTCTTAGCTATTGCGATGCTATGTGATCGATGCGCGCAGCACACGCTATCCGATCGCATAATATTCACACACTGATAATCGCGAAATCAATCCGTTCTAATAAACAACGAAGATAATCAGGCCGCAAAATCTCTCCGCTTGTCGCATTGTTCCCGGCTTTAAAGGCGATCGAGAGCTCGTATATTCCCACGGTACTCCCTACACGCTCCTTTCAATTCCTCTCGTTATATTTACCCCGCTTTCCTGCCCCCCGTACTGTTTCCAATAACTGGGCGACGAGCTGAGCTGCATGATCGGACCGGTTCCGGACAGGTTGCTCGGACTGGACGTCTGAAATCGGTCCGTCGTCGCCGCTGCCGCAGCGTTCTGCAACTGCCCGAGCTGACTCGGGCTGTTCCTGTGCTGGTTGTTGCCGTTGGACGTCACCAGCGGACCGGCGCGAGAACGATTGCACGCGACCTGCAGCAGATTCGAGCCGCTCGCGAGTCGTCCCGAGCTCATCGAAACCTGCCGCACGTGCGCGTTCTCCGCGTGAACGTACCGCTGGCTGACCTGAGCACCTCGCCGTACCTTACACTGATTACTCTGACCAGCGGCCTTCGGCTCGTGGCCGGATTTCACGTCGATCCCGAAATCGCTCAGCTTGAAGTTCTGTTGATTCATTTTAAAGTCCGCGTTGTTCTTGAAGCTACGATCCATCTCGATTCCGCTCGCGGTATCGAGTAATTATTCTCTCGCCGTCGCTCTTGCTGAGCAAATAAATCCTAACTTGTAAACGGCTGTCTATCCAACCCGAATTACAAAATCGCGAGATCTTGAACATCCGCGCGTTCGTTACTGCGCGGCACTCGGCGTCGCTTGAAATGTTTTCTACGAGCGGAATTCCTCGGTGACAGCGCGTTAAGTGAAATGAGAGATGAAATTAATCGCAGATGACTGTCGCGGCGATACGTTTGACAGTTCACTGATCACGCGGCGCTCGCCGCCTTGACACAGATCCAGCGTTGATGCACGTAATCCTTCCAATCCGCGATTTGCCGACGCGACTCGTCGTCGACGGCGATATATTCCGAAACGGACACCTTTGAACGTCTTCCAATATTCGCAAGTCGAATTTTCACTCGACTGGCACGCTCCACCGTTTGGCGATCGCGCGGATTCTGTCACCGTCCAAATAGTGACCGTAGTAACGACGAAACGCCTTGCGTCGAGCGTCACGGAGCCACGCTATTTGTCACGCCACCAGATACATGAGACGACGAATTAACATTTAGTGAAACTCAAGAACTCGCTCGCGCGCGCGCGGAGTTTAATCGGAGGTTGCCGCGTTGCCGCGATCGCCGATTATTGTGGATCGGCGCAAACGTTTTGTTATACTCTTTGCTCGCTATAATCGTTAATCACTGGTGAAAGTCGCGGAGCGAAAACGAGTTTCGCGACGAAAGAATCGTCTTTGACTTTGCGTCTCGAAAAATGAAACGAAATTTTCGGCGGCTCGACAAATCGACGAAATCCATCATCGAACGACGAAATTACGCGCTTTTGACACGTTTGAGGGGCCGCAGCGAATATCGATAACGAACTATATTTATAAAACAAATCGCACTTATTCACCGTAATATCGGGACCGAAAAGTCTTCAACTAGAATTCCACGTAAATGATTCGCGTGCCAATTAAACGCGTTGAATCGCGACGCCAAGAGGAGGCGGTGCTACTATTTTTGCAAAACATATCGACCGTGTCTACACGCACTCGGTTCTCCGCGGTTCCACTTTCGCGGGCTGGTCGAATCTCGCCCGTAATATGCGGACTCACGTTGACGCGAACGCAATTGCATCACACAGTGTCATGCACGAATCTGCCACAACATATACGGTTTTCGCAGTGCAGCGTCCTCCTTGTCCGATCGGTTTGTTGCATTCTCCACATTGGGGACTTTTCTACTAATGTACGAAATTTTCAAACAGAAATTATAGCATGTACACACACACACACACACTCATAAAATGCACTCGCGCGCGAAACGTCCCACGGCGGAAACAATCGAAAGAGAGAGAGAGAGAAAGAAAGATAGAGAAAGGATTAGAAGCCAACGGCCAGCTGGTTAGCCAGTAGAGAGACGACTGGTTTTGTGTTACCCGACTCATAGGCTACACACCGCACACGGCATGGAGGAGGCTGGGGTCCAGCGCACACCCCTCCACCAGACGATACACAGAGCAAGTGTGCTTACTCCCCCCTTGCGGTACGTACGTAGAAGTCTCTTACGCGTGTATGTGCACCGATGCACTCTCGCTCCATGTAGGCACGTTTCTCTCTCTCTCTCACTCTTTCTTTCTTTTTCTCCCGCTTCTCTCGGCCCGACCCCACAAGAGACGCTTGCAGTGTTTCGCGCGTATGCACTCCGCCGCAGACGAAATGCAAGCGTTGCACTCCGCGTGAGAGTCGAGTAACGTCTGCGCGCGAAAAAAAATCGTGGGAATTAAGATCGGGATGCTGCGCCGGAAGAAGGACAGCGATACGACTGCGCGATTTGTCACGTAATAACATAAAATTGCCTTCAATATTGCGTTTAGAATGATTAACGTGTAGAATTGCATTTTTATATTTCTGACATAAATTGTTACGATCCCTCTTGCGATGTTTCCAATATTGATCAAATTAGAACTTGCGCACGGCTCGCTATCGTTTCCTTTCATCGATTTTCGACATAATTAAACTCGGGCGCTTTCGTGATTACTGCAGAATCGAGCCGCAAAAGCTTGTATAATATATCTCGGATAATATTTAATAGCGCAACGTTCACTCGATAATAATGTAGATCATAGAAAAGTGTAAGCCGAATCGGATATTGATTCGAGGGGGCGAGCGGTTGTTTACAACGGTTGCCTATCTGCCCCTCGTTTCACGCCGGATCATTAATCGTGGATCGGCGCGATATCTTAATCGCCTATTACTTTCCGTTTCATTTTTTTTACAAGGGGTCAAATACCTCGGCGCGGCATCGGAGCATTATTTCCAAGCCATCGGCCGTAATGCGATACTATCGATTTAGTATTTCTCGCAGTCGGCACGACTCGTTAGAATTTACGAAATATGCTTAATCTTTAATTGTTCGCTTTATCAAAAATCGAAAAAATTTGCCTATCCCTCCTGCGTTCTGCCCAACGTTGATAAACAATTTCGCAACGCTACAACTGTTCTCTTTTCTGTAAGTAAATAACTGCTAAACAGCGGATAAGAATAAAATCCATTAAACATAAATTTGGAAGAGTCGAAGAAAGCTAAAATCTTGTATTAAAATAAAAGATAAGTGAGATATATCTCACCAAAGATATACTATCGAGTTTAGAAAAGGATCGCTCGTTCAAGCGAAATCTATCGAAGAGAAAAAAGCCTTTTTGTTTCGTTAATTCGTCACTAACTCGTAAAAAAATGAACCCGCATCGCCCATTAAGCCACGACAGTACTCGATTCTCTCGAAGTTTCCAAGATGCAGCTCGGTGCATTACGCCGCTGCATCTCTCTCTCTCTCTCTCTCTCTCTCTCTCTCTCTCTCTCTCTCTTTCTCTCTCTCTCTCCATCTCTCGTCAAGCACCGCGCCGCGGGAATACAGAAATAGTTTTATCCGCGGAGGGATTTCGGGAGAAGAGGCCGAATGGAGCGAGAAGGCGGGAGAAGGCGGAAAGAGAGGAGGAAGGTGAACCGAAGAGAGAAACGACAGAAAATACGAGCGGGAGTTACGAGTTACAGCGGAAAACGGTGGATTATGTGTGTTTAACCCTCCCCGGCCCGCTCGCCCTCCTCCTTCATCGTCCCAGCTTTCGTCCCGGCCCCCCTCGTCCCGTCGCCGCCTCTACGTTCGCCGTCGCGCAAACGCGCTTCCGAAAGCCCCCGAGTTATGTTTGAGCACGAAAAGTAAACTTCGACTTCGTGGCGACGTGAGGCGCTTTGTGAGGATTAGGTGGCCGCCACTGGGTGAATCGATTCCTTTGTTCTGACTTTCGCGGCTCACGGAATCGATTCTCCGCGGGCGGAATCTACTGCTGCATCGACAGCGGCGTCAAGGTCCGACGGATCTTCGACTCGCTCTCTCGTGCGTGCGAGCGTTTAAAGAACTTGAGAGAATCGCCCGGAGAGAGAGAGATAGAAGAGATCCAGGTCGATTTTTCACAAATAATGCCGTGGAATTTGAAACGGTAACAAAGAAGATCGGGACGATCGCTTTATTGTTAGATGTAATTGTAGCTGCGTGGGATAAAAGCATCCACACGATTACTAATTGCTAATTATTTGTTCATTACAGACGAACGCGTACAAAGATGCGGGTTATTACTTTACGTCGATATATTTATCATTTATTTCGCTCATTTCAACCGTGCTTCTCTGAAAATCCGGCTCGAATATCGGTAGTAAAATAATGTAAAAATAACAACTGAGAAATGGCTGGAGCACAACAACTTCGAAGTACCTATTATTTCGGGAGATGCACGGGGGCGTTCAAGATCTCGGGAATTCGTACCGGCTTAAAAAAGACGCGAATGCGATTAAACGGATGTCCACGGCCTCCGCAATTCCAGACGCGACTCCGATCCCCGTGGCAGCTGAGCTCCTCGGCGACGTAAAGTGGAAACGCGGGGAGGTAAACCCGAGGAAAAACCAGCCCTGGTCCGACGTGCAACAGGTAGGGAAGCCAACGGCAGAGGCTCGATGCTGCAAGTCGAGCGAGCTGCGGACACCGCGAGTGCACGGTGATCGACGAAATCACCTCTGGCGCGATTTAAGTCAAGGTGAACGTTACGGGAGAGTCTGAGGTCGACTGTAACAAGGGCCAATCGTGGCACTCGCGATAATCGCCGCGCCGCGATATTTCTCTCCATAAATTGTCTACCAAATCTATTACGATAATTGCAGAAAAAAAAATCGAAATATTAAGCTGCGAATCTTCGGAAACGAGATAAAGGTTTTAAACCTGCGATATAGTCGGAGTAATCTGTATTCGTATCACTGGAATATATTGCGCGGGATATACGTGAAATTAAAGCCACAGAATTAAACGTCGCATTTTACGATTCAATGACATAATGGGACATATCGCGCGGCGTATTCCTATTACCTTTTCCTCTATCTGTATAATGGACATACTAATCGCGCGATCGATGCGGTAACGCGCATACAGGTAACGAGTAGGTGGTTCACCATCGATCCGGATCGGATCGCGAGGTGAAGTGCGGTAGCAATTCGAGCAACGAGGCGAGCGAGTGAGCGAGCGAGCGATGCAGAACTCTCGTCGATCAATGCGCGACTTACCGGTTGCTCAACGAAACTGGTAAACGTACCACTGCCGCGGTCCGCGAAGTGCCTAATCGCACACCTTCACCTAGATATCTCGATGCTTGCGACGACGACGACGACGACGACGACGACGACGACATGTCCTTTCGAATCGAGTTGCGATGTGCAATAATTCAACCGCGTCATCGGCAGGTAAATTCTTTTTTTCTTTTACTCACCGCAAATTGCGATAATAAAGAAGTCGAAATCGACTCGTGCGATTCTCGATAAAGTCAAGATGAAATATTATGCGGATTGTGTAGTGATCGGCGTGTCGGTGACGATTATTTTTATATTTTGATTCTTCAAGAGACGTGAAGAGAAGTAAAAAAATTCCCGTATATATCTTTAGGAAAAAATATTTGCTTTACATTTCTGAATTAATCCTTAATTATAAATGTTACACATAAAATCCCGAAGACTACACGGAGAAAATTTTCTCTTAAAATTTACCCTGAAATCATGGTAGTTGTGGGACAACATGTACCACCAAGAATTTTATGCGAGCTATTCTGATTAATATTTACCATAATAAAAAATATTAATATCTATTACATTAAAATATAAAATATGTTTGATTAATTTTACTAAAATATATCTAAGAAATTTCAATAATTTTTCAAAATTTACCAATCTGCTTGGTAATTTTTATTACGTTGTTTGTAAAATGTCTTTTGTATATTTTAAAAATTCCTTGGTTACCAAGTTGTCCCAAGTTTGTAGTGAATTTAAGGGTAAAATATAACAAAAAATTCTCTCCGTGTATTATTTTCAATACCTATAAAAAAATTATTGCTCTCTATTATATACGTATTCGCTGTTGTATCGTGTATTTTTCAGCATTGATTGTGTATAGAATAAAATGTTATTTTTCTTAAAAAATATAATAAAATTATAAACTAAGTAGTAGAGAAGTCCTAAGAAATCCATAGCTGTAGAGGTTAAATAAATTATTAAATCTGAAAATCACAGGTTGACGATTTTTTTTTATTCCGCAAATGAGTTTGCACGAGGCATTTCATCTGTTCTAGTTTGGTCGTAATCGGCATAATTCATTGAATGCGTCGAAACATAAGATTGCAGATCCGCGATCGCGCGGAATTAGCGCGAGAGCGCTGCGAGATCGACCGACATTTACGATCGGATAAAATCTCGATCCATTCGAGACGGGCGTGAATTTATATCGTGAACGTGGCTGAGCGAAAAGAGAAGAGGTGAAAAAGCGTCCGCACTCTTTCCCTCGCTGATGGTTCACAGACCCTCTAAGCATATGCGACTCGTCGTCCCCGCATGATTATGGTCCCATTCATGTGCAACCAGTTCGGCTCGGTTTCTTCTCCGTACCGATTTCAATCTAGCCGCCGCGTGCGTTACATATAGGCGCAGCGTAACATATAATCGTCGTCGTCGTCGTCGTCGCTCTCGTCGTCATCGAATCGCGTATACAACTCCGCTGGAAACAGGCGGAACAAGAACGTTCACTTTTAACGAGCCGGACTGTACGGCGCGGAATGATCGAGCATAGAGATCGCATTGCGAAACGAGCCGTTGTCTCTTTTTCTCTTGCGAGAGAAAGAGAGAGAATAAGAATCCCGCGAACGATGAATCGCGCGAAGTAAAACTTCTCGACAAAAATTACATGATAATTTTGCAATTGTGCGACGCGTCCACGTTTTGTAACATATTTATGTAGAAATTAAAAAAGTTAAATTTTAAGGAAGTATCGAGTTTTATTTCCCCATCCGCGTTTTAATCGAACTCTGCTCTGATAGGAATTCAAGGCTTAATTGCTCCGAGATCTAGCCGTCCGCGAGAAAGGGGGGAAAAACGATTAATCGGCAAAAGGGCGTGTT